CAGTCAATCAGGCTCTCCAAGACCCCAAATGGCGACAGGCTATGCAGTCCGAGTTCGACGCCCTACTCGCCAACAACACGTGGGAGCTCGTTCCTCGACCTCCTGGTGCACATGTCGTAAGCGGCAAATGGATCTTCCGCCACAAGTTCAACGAAGACGGCAGCTTCAATCGGTACAAGGCGCGATGGGTGGTTCGTGGGTTCACCCAGCGCACAGGAGTTGACTACGGCGAGACATACTGTCCCGTTGTGAAACCGGTGACGGTCCGCACGGTGCTCACGCTGGCTGCTCAACGCCGCTGGCCTGTCCATCAACTCGACATCAACAACGCCTTCCTTCATGGCGTACTTGATGAACAGGTCTATGCTCGGCAGCCCGCAGGCTTCGTCGACTCTTCGGCTCTGACATCGGTGTGTCGCCTCTCCAAGAGCCTCTATGGCTTGAAACAGGCGCCCAGGGCGTGGTACATGCGACTCGCCACGTTCCTCGGCTCGATGGGGTTCAAGCCCACTCGATCCGACAGCTCACTCTTCGTTATTCGACGCGGCACGGACTCGGTGTATCTTCTTCTCTACGTCGACGACATTGTGCTTACGGCATCATCTAACGACATCCTGCAGCACCGGCTTCTTCCTCCAACACCATCAGCGACCTGTACTATACTTAGTTAGCACGTTCCTTAGCTCTCCTTGAGTCTAGCTATTGTTAGTTATCCAACTGCCGTGATGTACATGTATAAGAGGCGTAAGCCCTGATCAATACAACTTGAGTTGTCTGCATTGTTCTCTTCAGTTCTTACAGAGCTCTTATAGTTGGTGTGATTGTAGATGACCTTCATCTATGGGATCTACTAATGGATTTTCAGCTGGAGCTGGAGGTTGAGGATAGACACTTATGGAGGCTCTCCTCCAATGGACAATACTCGGCTAAGTCAGCATATGAAGGTTTCTTTTTGGGTTCTACTCTTTTTGGACCATGGGAAAGGATCTGGAAATCATGGGCACCACCCAAATGTCGCTTCTTATGTGGTTGGTCGCGCACAATAATTGCTGGATGGTTGATTGCCTGGCACGTCGTGGGCTACCTCATCCGGAGTATTGTCCTCTTTGTGACCAAGAAGAGGAGAATATCGACTATCTACTTGTCCACTGTGTATTCGCAAGAGAATTTTGGCACAAGAGAATTTTGGTTTAATCTGTTCAGACAGGTCAGTCTTCAGAGCTTGTCCCCTCAGCCTACAAAGTTATCTTTCCATGATTGGTGGGATAAAGTTAGCAGCAGCATCGCTAATGAGTTGATGAGGCAAGGTATTAATTCGCTCATTATACTCGGAGCTTGGACTATATGGAACCATCGCAATGGGTGTGTTTTTGATGGAGCAGCTCCAAACTTATTTGGTGCTTTGATCGTAGCTGGTGAGGAGCGCAACTTGTGGTCTATGCCAGGGGCTCGAGGGCTATCATTCTTGACTGCCCTCCTCCCCGGTAGTTAGAGTGACAAGCTTTGTAGTGGTCGCCTTGTGTAGTTTTGTCACGGGTGCGAATGTAATCCCGGAAACTGGTGGGGTGTGAGTGCATGCGTGTGTGTATGTGTTGTTTGGGCTCTTGCCCTTTACTCTCTCTTAATATAATGAGGCGCAGCTCTCCTGCGTTTTCGAGAAAAAAATGACCACTCTGACCATCACCAGGCGACCAGCCCTATTCAAAGGGGATGCTTTCCAACCTGGCAGGTGATCACCGGCCTTGTCAATTAGGGGCACAAGTTCAGCCTTTGTAGGTTTACGGATTGTAAGCGGAAGTCCAAGATAGGTGCATGGGAAATCTTTGATTGCACAAGAAAGTTATTCTGAAGTACGTTGCAGGTCATCATCACTACAGTGGATAGGGACTGCTGCACTCTTTGCAAGATTAGTTTTGAGGTCCGAGTCATGCCCAAACAAGTCAAGTAGGAGCTTGAAGGTCTGATGATCATAGCAAGAAGGTCTCAAGAAAATCACCGCATCATCAGCATAGAAGGAAACCTGATGGCGAACATTCTGAACAGCAAGCGGTTGAAGGAGTTGTTCGCTGACAGCAAACTGCATCAAATAATTCAGAACATCCATTACCAAAATAAACAACATTGGTGAGAGTGGATCGCCTTGATAGAGGCCATGTTGATGCAAAATAGAATGTTACACCAAAACCTGGGTAGAAGAAGTGGACAAGATCGGCATAAGAGGTTACACCACCGCTGTCTGAAACCGAGCTGCCGAAGAACTTCCAACAAAAAAGGCCAAGGCACCGAATCAAAAGCGTTTGAGATGTCCAATTTAAGGAGAATGTGGGCCTCTCCTTCCTGTGCAAAGCCTTCACCATTGGTTGCACGAAAAGAAATTTATCATGGATGTTCCTTGAATAAAGACACTTTGAATAGTCGGGACCAAATTGGGCACGACGGGGCAAGCCGGTTAGCCAAGATGTTCCTCACTAGCTTCGTGAAGCTATGGATTAGGCTAATAGGCCTAAAATCCTTGACCATCAGTGCATCCAATTTCTTGGGGAGTAGTATGATGAATGCTCTATTTAGAAGTTTGAATTTAAACAAATGTCCCTGATGAATATCCGAGAGGGCCAGCATCACATCTTCCTTTATAATATTCCAGCAAGACTTGTAGAATCGGCCAGTAAAGCCATCTGGGCCTGGGGCCTTATCAAGGGGTAGATCTGTAACGGTTTCCCACACTTCATCCTCAGAGAAAGGGACATCAAGGGAGGAGAGATCATTCTGCTGTTACATGAGAGCTCTGTTTCATTTTCATTAAGAAGAAAGAGTACCAAATGTACAATCCCCACACACAACACACAGAACCCAAACACTCTAGGACTACTGTTACATGTGCGCCACATCTGAGCAAAATAAACGGCCAAGATTAAAACCTCTGACCCTAGAAGAGGGTCTGAAGGCTGGCCCTGGCTGAACACCAAAGGGTTCCCTCCTCGACCATCTGCACAACTGAAGACACACTATGGCTAACATTGTTGAAAATACAGTTGGTACGGTATTTTCAATTTTCCCAAATTTAAGTGTTTTGATTTTTGCTGAGTCAACTTTAAGATTGTCATGTCCAGTTTTCTTTTCTTTTCGGGAGGGGATTGTCCGGGTTTGTGGGAAGACATATTTTTTATGTTAAGTTGACAAGTCTGGGTCCCCTTGTATCTTTTGGTCCCTCGACTCCCTGCACAGGTAAGCAGCTAGCTTACCAGCACACTCACACACTCAATATGGCTAGAGGTAGAAGAAAGGGTGAGCACATCACACACACAGCCAAGCAGCAGCTTTGCTGCTCTGAAAGTTGCTTCAGCTGAACTGAAGTTTTGCATTGCCTTAGGTGTAGTATATATACAACTCTTGTACCAACTATAAGGTACACAAGAGTATGGCTGAGTACAGCCCCATCTACTTCTAGTACTACTAGTACATTGGCTTAGATCAGCCGACTACCAAGACATGGCTGCCTTCTACCAACTAAGGTACTAGAGATGGCCTATTGCCTACAGCAACGTATTGCCTACAGAAACAGGGAGTGGACAGCCAAGGCTGACCAGCTCTTACTCCTAATCTGCAGCAAAGAGAGATTTGGGGAGCAGCAGATTATGTCTTACAGTATCCTGGGTTTTTATGTTTCAAGGGTTTGTTAGCTGATCGTGTTAAGGACTCTTCTGTTTGAAAGATGGATGTCAATCTCTTTCAAAGGCATGCAAATATGCAATTGTCTTATCCCTATGTCTTATCTCCTTTTTGCCTATGGCAATGACCCATTCTCATGTCAGAAAAAAATATCTTTGGCATAGTTGTTAAGGCATCGCTATACCGACGCCATATCGTCGCCATATCGCTGTGGCGTTTTTCTGGCTCTTGCCACGGCGACGCCACGGCTCCGGCGTGTATGCCGTCCGCCATAGCGTCGTGGCGTCCCCGTGGCGCCGATTTGGCGTCCTGTGGCGCCTTTGTGCGCTATGGCGGGTGCAATAGACGGTGGGGGTGACGGTGAGGCCGTGAGGGTACCTGTATAGGCCGAGTGGCCGATTGGAGCCCTCCGAGACCGAGCCCGAGATGCAACCGCAAGCAGCTCTCCGAGCCGCCGTCGCCGTCGACCGCCGGGACGGTCGCCCTCCACCCGCCCCCGCCTGGAAATCCATCCGCTTCGCCCTCCGTCGGCCTCCCCCGCCCTCCGTCGGCCTCGCCCGAGCCCGAGCCGGCCGCCCCCGCCTGGATCTCCCGAGCCGCCGTCTCGCCGCTTGGATCTCCCGAGCCGTTGCCTGGATCTCCCGAGGTTTCCTACACTTTATTGGACTCCTTGTGCTGCACATTGCTTAGACCTTATGTTGGAAGACGTAGGGAAGTTGAAGGAATTTAAGAAGCCTATCTCACATGCCCGGCATGTCACTACTTTCATCTATAGACATGGAAGACTTCTTAGTGCAATGAGGGAGAAGACAAATGGGAGGGATCTTGTGAGACCCATGACCACTCGGTTTGCTACCACATTCCTCACCTTGCGAGTTTGTACAAGCACAAAGATGCATTAAGATTTCATTTACCACCGAGGATTGGACTAGTTGCAAACTAGCAAAGGCAGAGGCCGGGAAAAAAGTGTATGATATTGTGCTTTCTAGGGAGTTTTGGAACTCCGTTGAGGATTGCCTTAGAGCTTCTCTACCACTTATCATTGTGTTGAGGGTGGTTGATGGTGATGAGAGGCCTGCCATGCCGGAGGTTCTTTGCTCTCATGAATCATGCAAAGAGAAGATCAAGGCTAGCTTCTCTACTGAAAACAAGAGAAGCTTGCTCAACAAGATCATACAAACTATTGAGAGCCGTTGGGATAGGCAAATGGATACCCCACTCTATGGTATGGCGCCCTCCTTTTGAACCCAGGAAAATTCTATACCATCCAAAAGGAGAATGATGAATATGTTGGTCATCTAAGGGGTTGTTTCAATGATGTACTTGCACGAATGGTGGAAGATGAGAGCATTCGAAACAAAATTGATCAACAATCCATGCTCTATGAAGATCAACGTGGAGATATCTTCAAGAATTGTATGGCCCTCCAAACCATGAAGTCAAAGAACCCTCGTAAGTGATTTAAAAATTTAATTGCTGCATGTTATTTAAGGCTTAAATCCTAATATATGAATGTGTATTGTTAATTTAGTTGATTGGTGGCGTATGTATGGTGGCCGATCCATTGACCTACAAAGATTTGCAAAGTGTATTGTTAGTCTTTGTGCTTCATCATCCGGTTGTGAGCGTAATTGGAGCACTTTTGAATTTGTAAGTAAAGTACTCAAGTTCCATAATTCAATTGAATGAAACCGGTTAAAGCATATTTTATTAACTTTGCTTGCTTTATGATCAATTGTAGATTCATACTAAGAAGAGAAACAATTTGGAGCATAAAAGATTGAATGATTTGGTTTATGTTTCCTATAATCGGAAAATGACTAGTAGGTTCCGAAAGCGCCGCGAGGAAGCGGGTAAAAGCTATGACCCTTTGGTTATAGAAGATTTTGATTGGAACAATGAATGGGTAGACCCAATGGCCCAACCTGAAGGTACTCGTGGTTCGGACCTCACATGGGATCAAGTTGATGAAGCCATTGGTGCATCACGTGAGCTTCGAGGTCGTAATCTTCCTAGGACCTACGCTCGTCGTGCAAGGCATATATCAAGAGTGGTTGAAGAAGATGAGGAAGAGGGAGAGGAAGAAGAGATCATTTTGGATGATGATGATATAGATGATTTTGGTGAACAACCAATGGATGCTACTGAAGATGGTGGAGAGAACGTGGGTGCTTCTAACGATCTCGATGAGTTTGCATTGGACGACTTTTGAGAGATGAGAGATTTGGAAGTTTGAGAGATGAGAGAGTTCTATGTCTTTTGTGCTACATTTACATTGCTATTTTGATTTGCTAATATTGTAGACTATACCTTTTAAGCTACATTTGCATTACCATTTGTCAATATAATTTCCTAATATCCTAGACTATAATGTATGTATTCGCCACGCCAATGTGTGTATGGCGTCGCCACGCCGCATGCCATAGACGCTGTAAAGGTGTGAAGGTGGTGGGTCGCCGCGCCTCGCCACGCCGCCATAAAAACTATGATCTTTGGTTATTGCAGGTCTTGCTGCTTGCCCTTTCTTTCTGGAGTTTCAACTTCACCGGTATTTGTGCTTTTGGTCTCCTAGCATATGTTGGATACATTTTATACGCTTTTCCTCCTTTGTTCCAAATGCATCGGCTTAATGGGTCACTTCTTGTGTTCATTCTGCTCTGGGCAGCCAGCACATATGTCTTCAATGTGGCATTCACATTCTTCAACAAAAGATTTCAAAAGGTATCACGTTAAGCTATGCAAGTTCTCCAGAAGTTATTTTTTGTATCAATATTTATGAGAAGTTATCAACTCAATGTTTCAGGATATGATGATTTGGGAGACCGTTGGGCTTTGGCACTATTCTATTCCTGGATTATTTTTACTGGCCCAATTCTGCCTTGGAGTGTTTGTGGCACTGTGTAATCTTGTTAACAATTCAGTTTTTCTTTACTTGACTTCTGAGGAGAGTCCTTCATCAGGTGATGATCACCTAATTGATGGTATGTCTATCATATTATCATGAAAAAGCATTTTCATTTTACATATTCACTGTTTCCACAGCTGACAGTTAAGCAATATGATGCTCAATCTGCCGTGCATTTAGCCATGTTGGATATGTTTGATGTATTTAATTCTGGCAACACCAGTGTCAAAGTTTTGTAAAGAAATTGCTGCATTGAATTCCATAACTTTCTGTTACTTTTGTTTCTGAGTTTTAGGTTCTGTTTGAAACTCCTGCAATCACATTGTCATGATTGCATTATTATTTCCCAATGACACATTTTTTTTTTCTCGAAATTGCAGGAGAGCTGTGCATCATTTCATTAAGATGAAGAGAGTGTACATAGAGTACAAGGAGAGAAGCATCCCCAAACAAACAAAAACAACACACACACACACACACAGTAACACACAAAGAAAAACACAGGCCACACCTCGCCCTTTGAGAAAGAAAACATGACCAGGACTACCAGAGGGCAAGATCAGCTGCTCGTGTAGTCTCCTTGCATCAGCCGAACACCATAAGAAACATTCATTTGCAATGATCTGTAGCACCAACATAATATTCGGTCTTGCTCCATCAAAGACACATGCATTCCGGTGTTTCCAAATCTCCCAGGCCAATAAAACAAATTGAACTAATGATTCTTCAAGTTCAACTCGAATCCAATAACATAAAATTATTCATGTTGTTTCTCTTGGTTCTGTAGCTTGGCAAGGCTTCATGGGGCTATTTCTACGTTTTTAGGCGAGTCTGAAAGTTACGTCAGTAGTATGTTATAATATTCCTTTTTGTGAATTTTGAGAGTTTACTTCAAACAGATTGCACTGGAGCTCCAGTGCCCTATGTTTGGTATTGCAAACGTTTTTGTTATTGTGTGATATGACTTATGTTCTGATTTCTTGTGGCCTGTTCTTTACAGAGAAGGAAGATACAATGGTTCTGATTGTAGCAACACTAGCATGGGGTCTACGCAAACTTTCACGTGCAATTACTTTAACATTACTCTTTCTACTTGTGATGAAACGAGGATTTATTCATGCTATTTACAGTATGGTGAAACATTCCTTCTCTATGTTGTCTTTTTAAATTCGTTGTAGTATTTATATTTTGTCCTATAAATTGTGAAAAGATTTATCCTTTATGAATTTACGCATCTCATCTTAAAATGTTACATTTCTTGATTTATTTTTACATGTTCTATTCTGAGTGGCTACTGGCATGCATACGACATATATTTCAACTATGATATCTCCATAGCAGAGGCTCTTAGGGCTAGTTTGGAAACACCAACCCCCTCGGGATCCTGGATTTTTCCCGGGTCCGGCAATCCACAGACTTGCCATTTCAATTAGCTGCTTAATTCTCCATGGGAGGCTTTCCATCCCTGGGTTTGCCTCCCCCTTAGGCCCTTATTCCAAACGAGGCCTAATGTTTATATTTATCCCAGCCCTTAACTGCAACTTGTAAGCTATAGGCTCTGGGCATGCAAATATTCCTGTTCTTCTAATATTTATTAGCACTTCGATGTCCCTTTATATTATTATTCTAACCTGTATGTATCGACTCATTGGAGTTTACCTAGTCAGTCGTGCAAATGAAGCAATGTTCTGCTTTGTTTCATTTGTTTATGTTGGTAGTTGGTTCCTTTATCTTATTAAATCACTTTGTGGGCTCTAAAATTTATTCTTTTACCTTCATACTATCCTAGACCTGTACCAATTCTAACTAGCATATTTCTGTCTCAGTGTGCTTTTTCTCGGTGTTTCTGGTGAATCATTCAATCGACAAGAGACTGCGCCAGATCTTAGTATTGTTTTGTGAGGTTCATTTTTTGATACTGTACATTCTCCAGCTTGATCTAGTGTCCAGTGCTCTGGAGCGCAGTGGTTCATTAACAATGGAGGTACTCTCACAGTTAGGTGCGCATTCTTTTTTTTCCTTATCCATTTCTATATAGAGGTACCCTTGTTTGTCGTTTATGTCATAAATGACAACTGAGTGCTCTTAAAAAGTCGAAAGCTGCTCTGCTAGATCGTTGGATGAGGCACAGTAAGGAAGTGCACACCTCCTTTTTTTCTTGAACACACATGAGAGCTTTGTATCATTATATGAAGGAAAAAGTGGTAAGAACCCTTGCACGCACAGCCACACAGGCTATATGTTACATAACTCACCCTTGATTGGAAATTTGGAACTAAAGGAACAACCTCGACCTTAATTCAGACCAATCCTAGCCTCCTCGGGGTGCATGGGCCAAGCGATCAGCCCTGTTTGCTTGAATTTATCAGCCATGGTACAGTGTTTTTCTCTCACAACGAAACAGCATCAGTCGGCTTATCAGCCACAGAAACCATTAGCTGAACAGCTCCAAGCTAGACTGTTACCGTCCACCCTCTACCAATCTTTGGCAGGAGAGGGGAACAGGTGCAAAGAGGATGCCTCCAAGGTCAGTCCACAGACGTTATTGTCCAACCTCTACCAACCCACCCTTGAGTGAGACCGTGACCTGGCAATGCCATGCGTAGAGCTTGCCCATCCTAGAAGCTGGACATCTGCGATGAAAGTGGGTTTCCTCGTCGACACTGGATGCCACCACGCGTGCTGCGGGCGTCCCCGCCACATGCACCTCCATTTACAGAAAACCACCCACAACAGTTAGGAGTCAAGCTTGCATCACTTCAGCAAAGAACCCTGAAACCTGGCAACACCATGACTCACGATCGCTGAACTCCACACCAACACCCGCATTCACGTCACTAGGTGAGCCGGTCGCATGAGACCGCACAAGTGCAAGAAAGCTATCACTGGAGAGAACTGATCCAGCTGGGGAGCACGCGGAGCTGGATGATCACCACCCCGCCACCCATGTAGATCTATCAGGATCCCGCCCAAACGACATGGTGATAGCAAATTCAACGGCTGCTGATCCTGTAGATTGGCCTTTTTGGTATGTTTGGCTGGCCCTTTGGGCATGAGGTTAGGCTACCGGCCGCACCTGGCTAACAGGCCCATGCGTGCCTTTTTTAGTACATCGGTCTCTTCTACAGGCAAGGGGGGATCCCCTGATTGGCCTTACTTCTATAAGCCTTAATCTTAAGGTAATCCTTGCCTATATATGTGGTTGTACTCTCATACCTCATAATCAATCTACAAGTTTAGCCTGTCATCTTGCTTTTATTGTATCAGACACCTAGTTATTTCCACTACCCTAGCATGACGACTCCTCAGCTGTGCTGCACCGGCTTCCGCTATCACTACATCCTCTGCACGCGATTCCCTGGAATTGTGTCCACCCCACACAGGCATTCCTTGCTGTCGTTGCCTCCCCTGCCCGTGTTCCTCTCACGGTGCATTCATATGGCCACCCCTCCTCTCTCTCCCAAGGTTGTGGTTGCCGCTGCCAAGGTGTAGGTTGACACCGACGCTAAAGCTGCTTGCATGTGGAGGTGCGCATCCGGGATGCCTAGGACTTACGGCAGGCCGCCCTCGCCTGCGCCCTTGCTGCCGAGCATGAAGACGCTGAGGTGGTCAAGGAGCGCGTTGCTGCTGAGCAGGCGCCCCCTAATCTCGAACTCGAAGACTATGGTGCGTCTAGCATAACACTCTTCTTCTCCACGAGGCTATCGCCATCCTTAACATGCATGCCCAGGCCGTAGCCGTCCATAACATCTAGCCCTCATTCCAGTCATTCTTGATTTGGCCTCTAGCAACTACACCTAGTGGACTTGTTCCTCCTCAATGATGGCAAGTACCCCCTCCAGGATCATCTCCTCCGTCGAACAGCCTCTCCTACCCCTCCTCAACTGGTAGCGCATGCATTGTGTGGTTTGTTCGTGGATCTTAGGCCCCGTGCACACCAACCTCACAAAATCGTCATGGAAACAGGCTCCTGTTGGGCCATGTGGGTCGCCATTGAAATTTACTTCCTTGGCAATCGCGAGGCCCGTCTCTCTACCTCGAGGTGTTGTCCGGAATTTCATCCAAGGGGACTTGTACATCATCGACTACTACCAGCGGTTGAAGAGCGTGGCCGATGATCTTGGTGACCTAGGTGAGGTCATCACCGATCGCACCCTTGTGCTCCATGTCATCCATGAACTCAACATAAGTTCGCCTCCATAGGCCAACATCTCCAGTAGAGTTTGCCACCCCTTCCCTTCATTATTAAGGCCCGCAACGACCTCCTGCTGGAAGAGCGCAACTTGGCACATCGCTAGGCCTCACCA